ATATTCTCTAAAATATAGAAGAATTAGGGGTGATCTTATAGAAACATATAAGATTCTTATGGGGCTTGACAGAGTCAACAGTGTGAGACTGATTCCCCTGGTAGGAGAATCTATAACCAGGGGTCACAGTCTTAAGATTAAGGGTCAGCCCTTTCGAACAGAGTTGAGGAAACACTTCTTCACTCAGAGAGTAGTGAATTTATGGAATTCTCTACCCCAGAAGGCTGTAGATGCTCAGTCCTTGAACATGTTCAAGACTGAGATTGATAGATTTCCAAAAGATAGAGGGATTAACGGAGATGGGGATAAGGCGGACAGATGGAGTTAGGTTAGAAGATCAGCCATGATTTTATCGAATGGCGGGGCAGGCTCAAGGGGCCGAATGGCCTACTCCTGCTCCTAATTCCTATGTTCCTATGTTTCTATGTAAGTTTGACATAACTCATGCTTTGCATAGGTTGTATTAAATGTATGGTCCCAAATGATACGACTATTTTTTACTGTATGTTTCCCAAAAAGAAGGTAAGGAGGGATATCTGAAAGTAAAAGGTCTTTCACAGTGGGACAACAACTCAAGGCACTTAAAATGAAGATAAACTTAAAATGTGAAAGTATTTAGTCAGTGCAACGTTGCCACGAACAAGACAGATCAAATATTGTCTACATCGAGCCAAAACCTTCAGGCTCACTGGATTGAGATTGTTGGATTGGAAAAAAATTAAATCAGATTATTTCACAATAAGCTTTTGAGAACAAATGATGTCAAGGTAATTAATCATCAGATGCTCTGATAGAGTCAACAGAGTTCTCAAAACCTGTCCGGGAGTGTCCTTGGGGCAAAAATGACAGCAAGCTGTTCCTATCAACCTAAATAAATCTCAAGCTACCTGAGGTGTAACTGAAAGAAAAGAACCATGTATTGAACACTATTGCTCTTTTTTTGCCTGAACACTCCACACTCACATGTTTTGCTGATCTTCCACAAAATATATTTTTGCGTCAACGTTTCAAGGGATCTTTGCCTTCTGTCCTCAAATTTGAAAAAATCTACAATGACATTGGTACTCGCATCAGAACATTGTTCTACATGTGGCGTGGTAACAGGTGGTCTTCAAGCATTTCTCAGCATTCTGATAATTCCTGCACCTCTTGCCCCTCTTTGTGCAGGTTAACTCGAGAGAAAGACACTGCAGGATGCTCTCTCACAATTGTTTTGTTGAATCTCAAGATCAGCATTAGCAGAGGGCTGGGAGCAAGCAGATGGGACCTCAGTTGAATGTCTTATCCAAAGAATGGCACCTCTGATAATTCAACACTCGTTCCCCCCCCCACCCACCGTATTGCACTGGAGCTTTAACTTAGACTACGAATCAGTGCCATCATGTGGCTTGTATCAAAATACGGATGGAACCCACTACCAACTGACTCAGAGACCAGAGAGTTACCAACTTTGTCAGGCTGACAAACTGTTTGTTTTCACTTCTATTGGATCCATTCTTATATTGGCATGCACTATATAACAATAATAATAATCCTTGAATTTGATACAGTGCCTTATCACGTCATTGAGACGTCTCAAAGTGCCTCACAGAATATATTGTAAAGTGGATTGACTGTGTATTTTGTGGGCAAAAATACAGTAGGTATCAAAAATTTACATCACAGCCCTCTACTTTGCTGTCACAATGTCAAAAGTTACCTAAGAAATTTTAAAAATAATAAAATAGAGCAGCTTCAGAACAACAGCTTCGGGCAAGTTTCCTTTCTCCACACGCCTGATAGTAATCCCTCAAGAAAAAAACAATAATAAATTGTTCACTTCAATCCACAACTGTTTGTGGGACACTGCTGAGCAACAATTGGCTGCCGAGTTTCGCCCACAAATACACAGTCAATTCACTTCACAGTATATTGTGTGAAGAGCTTTGAGACGTCGAAAAGACGTGAAAAACGCTAGATCAAATGCAAGGATTATTTTTATTATTTTATCCTCTGCAAAACTGATTGTCGTGCAACACAAATCCATTGATTTAATAATAATACAATATAAAGCATTAATCCTTACATTTGGTATTAATCTTTACATCCTTTCATGTTGGGAGGACATCCCAAAATGCTTCACAGTATATACTGTTTTAAGAAAATAAAACAATAATAAATTGGCCACTTCAAACCACGACTGTTTGTGGGACACTGCTGTGCGCAATTGGCTGCCACATTTTGCCCACAAATATACAGTCAATTCACTTTACAGTGTGTTCTGTGAAGCGCTTTGGGACGTCCTCCTGACGTGAAAAGCGCTATATCAAATGCAAGGATTATTATTATTATTATTATTTCAAATGCAAGGATTATTATTACTGTAAAGTGGAGTCACTGTGTGCTTCATGGGGGAGCATGTAAGCATGAAATTAGAATAGTAATAATAATAATCCTTGAATTTGATATAGCGCCTTATCACATCTTCGAGGCGTGATAAGAAATACTAAAAATAAAATTAAAATAAAAGAAATACTAGCAAGTCTGATAGAAACCTCTCCACCACCAGTGCACATATTCACATTGCCCTTCAAAATGTCCGGTCCTCTCAAACAAAGCTCTCACAGGACAAATGCAAAGCAAAAGATGGTCTTGTGGTACATAATGTAACAATTTTCCAAATGCCTCGATGAGAGCGGACTTTACAATTATGATGAGGTTTTGGCAGAGTCAAAAGGGAGAAATTGTTTTCACTGGTTGGTGAGTCAGTGACCAGAGGGCATCAATTTAAAATAGCTAGTAAATGAGCAAATGCTGAGGTTAGGAGAATTATTTTTCGTGCACAGACTTGTTAGGATACGGAACACCCTGCTGGGATTGGTGGTTAAGGCAGAAGCCATATTCGTTTTCAAAAGAGAATTAGATAAATAGCTAAAGCTTAGATAATTATTTGGGGAGGACAAGTTCACAGGGCTAGGGGGAGAGAGTGGAGGAGTGGAATTGAATTGGGTAGCTCTTTTCAAAGAGCCAGTACAGACACGATGAACCAAATGTGCTGTATAATTCTATGATTCTACGATAAAGCTGTGCATATTTGTTAGACCACTTGCCTCTAAAGCGAGAGGACCCGGATTCGATTCCCGGGTAGGGCAAGACTTTAGACAACTTTCCTTAATCCACACGCCTAGCAGTAAGTAGGAACTCGGTTGTTAGTCGATTGGCGGATCGCTTTTCCAGGGTAATAATCCACGACAGTTTGTGGGACACTGCTGTACGCAATTGCCTGCTGCGTTTTGCCCACAAAATACAATGACGTGTTAAGGTGCAATAATAATTGCAAGAAATATTATTATTAATAATATCGTGAGAGAAGAATGACCTCCAGCTAGCATCAGAATCAGCGACGTGAAATTTAGCACATAAAATATTTAAAAATATTTTTAATATATTTTAAAATGATTGGTTCTATTGTGGGGTGGGTTTCGGCGGGCGGGTGGGGGTTAGGGCGACAAAGAAAAACATTTTGTACGACATATAATTGGAGAATATTGAAAGTGTGTGCATTAGAACTATTATCAGTTCAAAGACCAACCAATACTAATATTGTTTCTGGGATGAAACATGTAGAAATGCTGCTTGCTTGGTGTGGAAATAAGTAACATTTCAATGTCAGTTCAGCCCTGAAGTCACGAATCCTCAAACCATTATAATAATAATAAAATCTGTGCCTTATCACGTCTCAAAGCGCTTCACAGAATATACTATGCACTGTAAAGTCAATTGACTGTATATATTGTGGGCGAAATGCGACAGCCAATTAGGCACAGCAGTGTCGCACAAACTGTTTATTGAGTGACCAAATTATTATTATTATTTTGAAGGGTTTATTACTCGCGGAAAAGCAATCTGCCAATCGACTAACAACCAACTTACCGTTCCTATTTATTGCTAGGTAAAGACGTGTGTGGAGTAAGGAAACTTGCCTAAGGTTTCGCCCTACCGGGAATCGAACATTGTGCATCATTGTATGTTATTCCCTAGTATCCTTAGATTCAGCCAACAAAGTGAAGAGGCCAAATTAAACCTTGGAACCCATACCAACCTGGGCACTCCCTTTGCTCAGCGGACACTGGACTGCTTCATGTCCTCCACCTTGCCCGCCCCACCATCAGTGGTCAGGCTTTCAGCCTATCTGCCCCATTCTCTGGGATTCCATCCTGGAGTCCCTCGGTCTCGCTCCCTCCCTCACCTCTTTCAAGCTCTGTCTCAAGATCTTCCTCCTTAACTGTGCATTCGGTCAGCTTTCCCCTCCCAACCAACCATCCCCCCCACCCCTGCTGCAGCTCTAGTATTAGGTAAACCCACTCTCTGGAACTCCACATTAGGGTCCCTCTGCCTTGCCCCTCCCTCCTCCCTCCCTCCTTACAAGATCTAACTTGAGAACTATGTCTTCGACTATCCTTTCAGCCATCTTGCCCACCCTTCGTCAACTGCACATGAACACATGAGGGTGCCCAATGTCTTTCAATAGGCCACCCTTCATATAACTGGATGATGTTCTAATACCTCAGTTATTTTAAAGTAAGTAAGGTGCGCCTGGCTATTCTTGTGTGTTGGCTGAATGGAGCTATTATGCCACTAGCACCAGCCAACTTAATAAATAATAATCCTTACAGTTGGTATAATGCCTTTCACGTCAGGAGAATGCCTTACAGTGCTTCACAGGATACACTGTAAAGTGAAGTGACTGTGTATTTTGCAGGCGAACGCAGCAGCTAATCTGCACACAGAAAGTTCCACAAACAGCCATGAAATGAGTGACCAATATTATTTGGGGGATTGTTGACCCAGGACAGCAAGAGACACTCCCTTCTCTTTTCGAATGGTGCCAAGAGATCTTTAACATCCACTTGATTTGGCAGACATGTCCCTCCCTCTCCCCTCCACTACCCATGTTCTGTTTTTTCACAGAGCTGAACATCTCAACATGCCATTGCTTTTCAACAATATCTCGAGAGCAACAATTTTCCCCAATCCTTTATTGGATAAAACAGAAATGTTACACAAAGGCAATAAAGGATAAAGAGTTATTACACAAAAATAAAGCAGAAATAGTAGTAATAAAAAGTGAAAGTATGTGTTTTGCGTTGGAACAAGTGAAGTCCAGCTTATATACAGTGTTGAAGTGAAATGATAATAAAAATCCTTGCATTTGATATAGGCCTTTATCACGTCGTTGAGACATCTCAAATTGTTTTCTGCCCATTTTCCTGAGCTGTGCACAAAAGAAATGATGGAGTAGGAACTGAGTCTAGATTTATTCTATTTTCCAGGTACTTCAGAGTTTCCAGAATTTGGCCAATTGTTGAATTCAGTCTTCGTTTTAAAGCCAGTTTTCTCCAGTTCTTAAAAGAAACAGAAAAAAACGGCTTCAAAATCAAGATTGAATTTAAGAATTTAATGAAACTCTGAAATGCTAAGAAAATGGAGTAAATCTGGAATCAGATGGAATTTCTCCCCTGGTGTCGTAAAGCGCTGCCTCCTTCATGGAAAGATATTTGCAGAATAACTGTACTTTGATTGCAATAATTTACATACAAATGTATAGGGCTTTTCCTACCAGAGGACATCTCACAGCGCTTCACACACTGACTGGGAGCCTGAGCAGGCGGTGTGGGGTTGGAGGAGACATGTCTCTAGAAGGGTTTTGAAGGCAGAAAGGGAGGGAGGGGGCAAGACGGAGGGAGTTCCGGAGAAAAGGGGCAGAGTGTTTGAAGGCTCTTCACCTGATGTTAGGTCGATCAGGCAAGAGACGTGATGGAGGCTAAGACTTGCTGAGTGGAGAGAGCAGCCAGGATAATAAATGCCCCAGGACATTGCAGAGGTAGGACTGTGCAAGATTCAAGAAGCATTTCAATGTGAGGATGAAACATGCAGGGGGTAGACACAAATCCCACATAAAATCCAACTGCTTATTGTCACTCGCGCGTAATGTCATCTTGACAAAGTGACACATAACATGACCCTGTCTCCACGGGGTTGCAAAGGCAAAACTATTGGTTAACTCTTTCACTACCGGAACGGTTTCCAGGCTCAAACCCAAAGTAGAAAAAGAAACATTTAGAAAACAGCTTGTGAGAAACGGGAACTGTTGACATCAGAAGTTGTCAGTCAGAGATGCAATAACATTTTTTTTTAAAAAGCTCGAGTGAAACTTATCTCTTTCACTTCCAAATAAGGGAATGAAAAATGACTTGGGAGTTTAAAAACCTAACATTTCACAATGGATTTGAATGCGATCCACATCTAATCTGTTACAAAACTTTGCATTTTACACATTTCAACTTCACACCCAGGTGATAATTAGCACACCAGCCGGAAAAACTGTGTTGCTGAACAGTCTTCAGCTATCAATGCTTGAGTTAAGCGCTCCTGAGACACTACCCTGCGTGAAGGGTGTTGTATAAATGCAAGTTGTTGTTGATAGTGATTGAGTTAGGCTATGTGCCATGGCACTGAAACCCTCTGCAGCGAGACAGCAACAATGATAGTGGTTGAAAGCTTTCCCCAGTTTCAGATCTGGGGAGTGAGCTGTTCACACCAGAATCTAGACACTGCTTTTGACAGCAATTTCCGGCAATGTGATAATTATCACCTGTAATAATTGACACCAGTGATAATTGTCACATCGCATATAGCATTTCCATCCCCAAAGGAGCCAAATCACTGCCCACAGCAGCCCTTATTTTTTTGAACAGCCCAATTGTGGGCTCATCCGTTACAACAACAACAAATTGCCTTTATAAAGCGCCTTTCATATCGGGGGGGACGTCCCAAGGCTCTGGACAATGCGGGGTTTGCACCCGAGCTGCGGCTTGGGATGAGAGAGGAGTGAAGGGCAGTGGAGTGAGGGGGTGGTGTATGGAGGAGGGAAGAAGTTTGAAGGCACGGTCTAAGAGGAAGGTCTTGAGACGGGCCTTGAAGGAGGCAAGGGAGGGAGGGGACGAGGCGGAGGGGCTCCGGGATGGAATTCCAGAGGGCACTATTGTTCTGTATGGAAATGCTATGTATTGTAAACAACAACTTGCATTTATATAGCACCCTCCACACAGGGTTGCAGGCCAGAGCGCTTACAAGTTTGACCTCCTTGTTGCTGTCATCGGTGGTACTCACACAACAACTTAATCAAGAGCTTTTTACCAGCACCTCTTAGTTGAAGCTGACAAAATGGATGCCACATGGACTTTAAGGAGTATTTCAGCTGAATAGTGTTTTCATTAAAAAATACTGTGTCCAATTAATTTCCCACTGTAGCGCCGCCAATTTAGCCTTCCCCACACAGCCCTAACTCAGCTTGGACCCAACTCCTCACGTCATCAGCAGTTTTCTTTCGGCTTCATGTTGGCCAGTTTTATTCTTTCTTCTGCACTGGATGAATGGTTTTCTTCGGGTTCGGTGTGTATGCCAACCATCAGCTGGTAAACCAGAATACCAAGCACTGCACCAAGGAGCGGGGCTAGAATGGGCACCCAAAACCAGTAGTTTCCAGCACTGGGGGGTGGGAAGGTGGGGAAGGGGGGGATAAAAGGGAAGGGGGTGAAGGGGGGCAAGGGGGAAGAAATAAAGAAGCATTACAAACAATCATTTAATTGAAACGTATGAATTACAGCTGACTTTCTATAGCTACACTATATGTAAACAGTTTATTGGACAAGCAGATAACCATTTGCACACATAACACTAAAAGATTTATCAAGACTGCACAGCATGGAAACGGGACATTCGGCCCAACCAGTCTTTGTCGGTGTTTATATTCCACACAAGTCTCCACCTATTCCTTACTCCCTCCCATACCCTTCTATTCCTCTCTCCCTCATATGAAGGTCTAGCTTCCTCTTGATTGCCTCTACACTATCTGATTCAAACACCGCTTCAGGCAGCAAATTTCACAACCTAATTAATAATAATAATAATAATCCTTGCATTTGATATAGCGCTTTTCACGTCGGGAGGACATCCCAAAGCGCTTCACAGAACACACTGTAAAGTGAATTGATTGTATATTTGTGGGCGAACGCGGCAGCCAATTGCGCACAGCAATGTCCCACAAACAGTTGTAGATTGAAAATGACCAATTTAATTATTGTTTTTTGGTTTTTGGAGGGATTATTATTAGGTGTGTGGAGTAAGGAAACTTGCCCAAGGTTTCGCCATGCCTGGAATTGAACTCAGGTCTCTCACTTGCAAAGCGAGTGCTCTAACCACTGAGCTACAGGACTCCACAAATTATCCTCTGGGTGAAGTAGTTCCTCCAAAATTCTCTTTTATATACTTATATATCTTATATTTATGTACCCCTGTTATGAATTCCCCAACCAACCACATAGTCTAAGATGACACTCCAGTGCAGTGCTGGGGGTGAGCTACAATGCTGGCGGCACATCCTTCAGATAAGATGTCTCATCCAAAGAAGGGGCATTTCCCCTCCCCCCCACCATCACTGCATTGGAGCATCAGCCTAGACGATATGAGTTCAAAAGTCCCGACGTGGGGCATGAGCACGAAAGGGGAGGGAAGAAAAAATACTGACAGACTGAAATGAACCTCAAAATAACAAATAAAAATTCTCGTACCTGAAGACTTTGGTGCCCCAGCCAGCCAGTGAGGTAAACAAGCGAGGTCCAAAATCTCTGGCTGGGTTCACAGCGTAGCCACAGTTAAAGCCCATTGCCAAGCCGATTACCAGAACCACAAAGCCAATAGTGAAGGCCTCCACTCCCTTTGGCACCGGGTTGTTGAATGGATCCACAATGGCAAGGATACAGACGATGAGAGCTGCTGTGCCAATCAGCTGCCGTTTCAGAGAAAGGAAAAGCAAAACATCAGAGGTAATCCATCACTCGGTGAGAATTGTTTTGCAAACAACAACAATAATAATAATAATAATCCTTGTGTTTGATGTAGCACCTTATGACATAGTTAAGGCCTCTCAAACACTTTACAGACTATATTGTGGAGTCCTGTAGCATATTGGTTAGGGCACTCGCCTCGCAAGCAGAGGACCTGGGTTTGATTCCACTCAGGGCAAAATGTTAGACAAGTTTCCTTACTTCACATGCCTCTGTTTACCTAGCAGTAAATAGGAACCCGGTTGTTATTCGATTGGCGGATCACTTTTCTGGGTGTAATAATCCCTTCAAAATATATATATAATTTTTTTTTAAATGTGATCACTCAATCCACGGCTGTTTGTAGGACACTGCTGTGTGCAATTGGCTACTGCATTTCGCCTACAAAATATACAGTCAATTCACTTTACAGTATGTTCTATGAAGCGCTTTAAAACATCTCAAAGACATAATCAGGTGCTATATCAAATGCAAGGATTATTATTATTTGTCTTGCACATGTTTTAGATTGTCAAGCGAGATAGTACTAATAATAATTATTAATAATAATAATACTTGCATTTGATACAGTGCCTTATCATGTCAGGACATTTCAAAGTACTTCGCATGATTTTACTTTGAAGTGTAGCAACTGTATATCCGTAGGCAAACATGGCAGCCAATTTGTGCAAAGCAATGTCCCACAAACAGCTGTGATGAAAATGATAATCTTATCTGGGCAATTGGTGACCAGAACACGGGGAGAAATTCTTTTCTCTTTGAATGTAAAAACATATGTGACAATTTAGATATTATATCCAACCTTCAGATCTGTAAAATCAAATTCAGATGAATATAATTAAATATAAGATTCCCTAAATTTGAATTATTTGAGCCAAACAGCAACATTTCAACAACACTGGCTTTCTGTACTTTTTTTAGTGGGAAAAATCTGCCTCAATAAAGACAGATATGGAATGTGCTCCAACAGCCAAATTCCAAGATAGTTGTTCCCAGGAGCTGCTCAGGTGATTTATCCCTGTGATATACTAAGGAATAGATTGGAATTTGCGATGTTTTGCATCAGGTTTTGTTGAGTGTTATCACAAGGAAGAAGTTATGAAGCATCGCAGCCATGGTTTGCCCCAATGTGTGCCAGCAACCACAACAACAACAAATTGCATTTATATAGTGCCTTTCACATCGAGAAGACTTCCCAAGGCACTGGGCAATGAGAGGCTTGCAACCCAGGTTGGGATCGCAGAGGGTAGAGGGCAGGAGGATGGGGAGGATGGCGGGTGGGGAGTTGGGGGTTGCGGGGGTGTGGAGGAGGGATGATGCATAATCGAAAAGAAAAAAACAGAAAAAAAGCATTGAAATCTCATAAAGGGTCAGCCCAGGGAAACTGGAAACTCCTAATCATCTAAGAGTTTGTATCCAATCACCTGAGCTGCTCCTGTGAACAACCATCTTGGAATTTGGCTGTTTCAATCTATCTTTATTGAGGCAGATTTTTTCCACTAAAAAAAAGTACAGAAAGCCAGTGTTGTTGAAATGTTGCTGTTCGGCTCAAATAACTCAAATTTAGGGAATTGCTGAGTAGTTAACAAGATAGATAAGTATGAAATATTCAGTGAAGGACCAGGTTGAAGCTTCATTTGTAACAGCCTGTATGTAATCTCAGTCTTACCTGATCAAAGAAACCATTGATTAAAGTCAAGTGTTCAGACGGGTAAGTCGCAAATATCCCAGCAGTAGCATTAGGTCCCATTACTATCAGATGGTTATTACCATGGAGCCAAATTGCATCTGCAAAAAGATAATGATCAAATAAACTATTGGTAGAATAATAACAACATTAATAATTAATATGAATCAAGGTTATGACAGGATTTGATAGCTGGGCCAAATGGTCTGCTTCTGACACATGAGGAAACCCATCATCAGACGTAAGAGTATCCAAACCAACCTGAGAATTCCAAGCATTCCGGAGGTAGATTATTGGGATGGAATATGCACTCTCTCCCCGGAGGGAAGCACTCTGCCTAACTAATTCAGAAAGTTTTAGGCACGTATGTTGGCGTACTGCTGGAGTCTAATCAGTTAAAATCACACAGCTTGCCATTGATATCGCTGTCTGGCAAGCTTTCCCTCCTACCTCTCCGACCTAATATCCCCCTACTTACCTGCCCGTACCCGCCGTTCCTCTGGCTCCGGTCTGCTCCACATCCCCCGCCCCAACCGCCTACCATCGGTGGCCGGGCCTTCAGCCTCTCAGCCCCGAGGCTCTGGAACTCTATCCCCCAGTGCCTTCGCCTTGCTTCCTCCCTTTCCTCCTTCAAGGCTGGTCTCAAGACCTTTCTCTTCAACCGTGCCTTCAGCTCCCCTCTCGACTCTCTACCCCTTCCTCGCTCCCTCCCTTCCCTCTCCTCACCCCTGACCATTTGCCCCCTGCTCGGGTCCCAACCCAACGGTCCGGCGCCTTGGGACGTCCTCCCGACGTGAAAGGCGCTCTATAAATGAAATCTTGTTGTTGTTGTTGCTGGTCCAGCTAGGACCACACTACTCTTTAGGGCTTTGGGTTGCAGGGTTAATAGGAGCTGAGTGGGAGGATTCCCTTCTCCCAATGATTGCTTGATGATTGATAAGAAATTGAATGTATGGCCAATGTGAACAAAATGAACGGATATCCATTAGTGAAGAAGAAAAAGGATTTGAGCGAAATTATAGATCATTCTTTGAATTCTTCCCAAATTTATGTGTAACTGCAATCAGCAAACTTAATCAAATATCAAAACATTAGACCGTAAGTCAAAGGAAGCTAGTCCAAATTTGTATAATATATAAATAACTTTGTTACTCACCAAAATATAATCCAAAGATGATACCTGCTCCAAGAAATCCACCCAATATTTGTGCCAAAGAGAAAAGGGGAAATTTGATCCAGGGCTCACGAGCAAGTAGACACAAAGCAAAGGTCACAGCAGGATTCAGGTGAGCTCCTGTCCATAGAATAGAAGGGACACAATATTTCTAAATAAAGAGTTATAATAATAATCCTTGCATTTGATATAGCACTTTACCATGTCATTGAATATACTGCATAGTGAATTGACTGCATTTTTGTAGGCGAAACATGGCAGCCAATTGTGTACAGCAAATCCCACAAACACTCGTGGATTGAGTGAGAAAATTTCTATTTTCTGTTTTGAAGGGATTGTTATCCCCCGAAAGCAATTTGCAATCGATTAATAATGGGGTTCCTATTTACTGCTGATTAACTGCTGAGTTGAATTACATGATCTTACACACTTTAAGCCAAACAAAACAGTCTTCATGGTCAAAGTCTATAGCGGGATTTTGTGCTGCGGATCACAATACTCATTTGACATTCTAAGAGATTAAGGGTGAGAAAAATCATGACCTTAAACCAGGGTGCGATTCTTTATTCTTTTCAATGACGTGTTGCTCCACATAATCTCTTGCTGACATTTTCTCTGGTGAAAAGCTTATTATGACTATTGTTAATTGCTGACAGTGACCTGCTGTGCAGTGTGGTTTAAAAAGGTGTTGCCCTTCTCCATAGGGATCGTCTTACCCGACACTTGACCGGCCACAAGCACACCAAGAGTCACCGCAAATCCGAAGGCTAAGTTGACTGTTAGAAAGGCTCCGTGCGTTCCCCGACTGAGAGTGATCTGTGCCAGTGCCCCGCAGCCAAACAGCTAGAAGGAGAAATGTCAAGATTAAATTAATTCCAGGTACACTGGCTCCCTATTGCAGAACGGATCGATTTCAAGATCCTCACACTCGTGTACAAATTACTTCATGCCCTGGCACCCTCCCCCTACCTCTCTGACCTGCTCACACCTCACTCCTCTACTCTTTCCCTTTGCTCAACTGGCTCCAGCCTCCTACATATCCCTCGGGCCCCTCCACCCCACCATTGGCAGCCGGGCCTTCAGCCACTACATTGTAGGCTCCCACAAGCTCCCACATCAGTAGTTCAATCTGATAGTCTAGGCTATCAATCCAATGCAGTGCTGGGGGGATGTTGCATTGTTAGAGGTGCTGTGCTTCGGATGAGACTTTAAACCGAGGTGGCATCTTCTGTTTAGGCGGATGTTAAAGATCCCTTGGCACTGCTCAAAAAGAGAAGGTAGTTTCTCCCATTGTCATGGTCAACAATCCGCCAGATAAAATTGGTCATTCACTTTGTGGCTGTTTGTGGGACATCTCTGTGCGCAAATTAATTGCTGCGTTCACCTACAAAACACACAGTCACTGCCGACTACCCAATGAAGCCCTCTGAGACGGCCTCCCGATGTGAAAATTCTTTACAGCGTAAGGCACTCCAGTAAACTCTGCTCAGCAAATAACATAACTAACTGTAAGGGTTTTGTCCTACATGGGTGTCTAAAATGTATGATTTCTAAAGAGATTCCTAAATAAGAAATCCTGTCGCCCCTCGGCAACAAAGCTCTGAAAGAAGATCCAACAGGAATAGGTTTGCCCAGAGCTGAATTGATATCCTTCCAGGAGTCACTATTTGCACGACTTGGATAATAATAATAATCCTTACATTTGATACAGCGCCTCATCATGTTTTTGAGACGTCTCAAAGCACTTCACAGAATATACTGTAAAGTGAATTGACTGTATATTTTGTGAGCGAAAAGTGGCAGCCAATTGTGCACAGCAGTGTCCCACAAACAGTCGTGGATTGAGTGACCAAATTAAAAAAAAAAATTAAGGGATTATTACACCCCAGAAAAGGGATCTGTCAATCGACTAACAACCGGTTCCTACTTACTGCTAGGTAAGCAGAGGCGTGTGGAGTAAGGAAACTTCCCTAAGGTTTTTCCCTGCCCGGTCCTTTCACTTGCAAGGCGAATGCTCTAACCAATACACTACAGGACCCCTGTACCGTGGATTTCATGTTCAGTCTTCATGTCAGGAATCCAACATTATGAGCACATTATGTTTCACGTGAAGCGATTACACATTGTTCAGAGGCCTGGAATCTCAACACCTTTTCAGGATTTATTTTTGTCTGTGACGTAAATACTTTTCAGCTCGGAGCTAAATGTAACATGTTTGTGCCATCGATGAGCTGGGGAAGTTTATCATGAGGTGTTTGAAGCTGAAATAATCACCAAAGGTTCAAACATCAGAAACTTGTGAAAAAGTCTGAAGCTGACTACTATATCTGCTCAACATAGGAAAATGTGCTCTGGGTTCCCTTTGCTAGGCTTGTAGATGGAACAATCACAAGGATAGGTTCAAAACAAAGCTGAAAATTCCTTTAGATTCAAATAGAAACAAGGGTCCATTTCCAAAACCAGAGAAAACCAAACAACAAATTGCACTTGTGTAGCACCTTTCACACAGGAAAATGTTTCAAAGTGTTTCACTGCGGAAGCCCGAACGACACAATACAATTTACATTTATATAATATTTTTAATGTCGGGAGGATGACCCAAGGCACATTCACAGTGCTGCAGTTATATAATAATATAATAATAATCCTTGTATTTGATATAGCGCTTTTTCATGTCTTCTAAACGTCTCAAAGCGCTTCACAGAATATGCTGTAAAGTGAATTGACCGTATATTTGTGGGCAAATTAACAGTTAGAGTTAATGGGGATGAAAAATGTGATATTGAATTTGCAATAACGTGATTTCACTAAGTATGGGTAGAATAAAGGTGAAGCTACCTGCGCACTACAAGGTTTATCCCTTGTACATGATTAGTTGTATAAGTGCTTTGTATTCCTTATAGTGTATGATTGGTACGTACTCAGGTGTGCAGAGAAGCAAAGCTTAATTTAAACATTTCTCAAGCCTTCAAAATGTAAAGTTTTTGTGGAGCGTTAATCTCCCTTGCAATTGAAGTCAGACTGTTGACAGCAATAAAATTATCATCAACTCAAGGAGACATTAATGCTGTAGTTTTAGAAATGGTTTATGTTAAGTAATAAATAAAATGCTACTTTTTTTCCTGAGCTCAATCGAAAGCCAGAAATAGGTTCTGTACAGAAATCTGTTCATTGAGAGTGAAATCATTGCTGCATTTTGGCTTGCACATTTACTCTGTGACCAACAACATTAATAATAATCCTTGCATTTTTTTATATACATCTCAAAACCCTTCACAGAATATATTGCAAAGTTAATTGACTGTATAGTTTGAAGGGGAAGCGCAGCAGCCAATTGTACACAGCAGTGTCCTACAAACAGTCGTGGACTGAGTGACCAAGTATAATTATTTACTTTTTTTTAAAAGGGATTTATTACCCCAGAAAAGTGATCTGTTAATTGAGTCACAACCGGGTTCCTACTTACTGTAGGTAAACAGCGACTTTCCAGTAAAATCATTGCAACTCTCCCCCAAAAAGTTCCAGCAAAAGCATATCTTATAAAAATAATATAATAATAATCATAATAATAATTATAATATTAATAACCTTAGCAATGAAAAGCGAAGCACTTACCACGAGAATTAAAGTCCCCAGACATTCAGCAAGGCATTGTTTTACCAGCATGTTTCTTATACGGAATAAGTCTTGAATTTTCCTGATGGTTTCTTTCTGTTTCCCCATTGTTATAAATTGTTTTTTATCTGGGACTCGAGCTCAGTGAGGTTCAGGAGCACAGATGCTACGGCAGACCTGGATTGTGCTTAATTGAAAATTGCTGGAGCTTTGCATTTGCCTTTTAAGCACCCTCAGATTCCTGCCGTCAGCCTTAGGCATTTCAGTCAAACACAACAGGGATTAAAGCGAGAGTGTTTGGCAATAGATACCGGCCTAAAGCCATTCGCTGTTGATGAATAAATGTTCTCATTAACTAAATATCATTGCTGCTGATATTCCAGTGTAATTAACCCTTGCTTTTCAAGACCGAAAGGGCATTCAGAATCAGCTTAATATCAGAATTAACTTAAACTTAAGAGAAATGTTTTTACGGTCTACGGGCCAAAATTGTAGCAAATCGAATCCCAAGAGTACCAACTACTTTTCTTTTCCCCACATCATAACTGATCGGATTCCCAGTCACATCTAACTCAAGCTCCGTGAACTGTGGAGTCCTGTAGCATAGTGGTTACCGCGCTCTCCGCGCAAGTGAGAGGACCCGGGTTTGATTCCCAAGCGGGGCAAACCCTTAGGCTTCTTGACCTCTTGAAAGGCATCAGAGAACTACTTTACCCCAAAGTTACCTTCTTATGGTTGAAACATCTCAAAGTGTTATAATAATCCTTGCATTTGATATAGCGCCTTATCACGTCTTCGAGACGTCTCAAAGCGCTTCACAGAATATACTGTAAAGTGAATTGACTGTATATTTTGTGGGCGAAACGCAGCAGCCAATTGCATACAGCAGTGTCCACAAACAGTCGTGGATTGAATTGACCAATTTATGATTATTATTATTTTTTGAAGGGACTTCAAAAAGGGACTTGAAGGGAATAGAACCCAGGTTTCTCGCTTGCGAGGTGAGTGCTCTAACCACTGAGCTACAGGACTCCACTTTATAGACGTAAAGTGCAATTACTACATATTTGTAGGGAAACAGTGCTCCTAATTTGCATATAGCAAATTGTGCTATGTGGTCGATCGATGGTGGAATGGAGAGCAAGAGGGATAAGTAGGAGACCGGAGCCAGTCGAGTGGAGGCAGTGGGTAGTGGGTTGGGGAGTAAGCAGGTCGGAGAGGTAGGGAGGTGCCAGGCCCTGAAGGGATTTGATGACGAGAAAAGCTTTTTCACAATTGCTATGAACCTTTGCGTTTCAAACCCATAGCGTAACCTTCGCACAGAATAAGCTGAATATCTTAAATGTCGTAATGGCGCCACTAAGTGGCCAGGCCTCGCACAGTACAATTCCAGCTGCAATATATGTCACGCACTTTCAGTATCTTTTACTCCTATGTATAATAATAATAATCCTTGCATTTGATATAGCGCTTTTCATGTCTTCCAGATGTCTCAAAGCGCTTCACAGAATATACTATAAAGTGAATTGACCGTATATTTGTGGGCGAAACGCGGCAGCCAATTGCGCACAGCAGTGTCCCACAAACAGTCATGGATTTAAGTGACCAATTTTATTATTGTTTTTTTTGGAGGGATTATTATCAGACGTGTGGAGTAAGGAAACTTGCCCAAGGTTTCGCCCTGCCTGGAATTGAACCCAGGTGTCTCGCTTGCAAGGCGAGTGCTCTCACCGCTAAGCTACAGAACTCCACATATTTCAGCCCCAACCAAATTTGTAATTATTTCACATCGTCCCCTTATCCAAATACTATTATAATAATAATAATCCGTGTATTTGATACAGCGCCTAATCACATTGCAGAGATGACTCAAAGCGTTTCACAGAATATATTGTAAAGTGAATTTTATATATTTATATATTTATTAATTGTATAAATGTATGGCCTTTGGCTATCCCCCTACCATCACCCTCCCTGCTGTCCACCCCTCCTGATCCCAACCCACAGTTTGGGTCCAAACCCCTGACTGTCCAGAGCCTTGCGGCGATTATTATCCTCAGAAAGCATGACCACTTTTTTTTCACCTCCGCCACATTGCTCGTCTCCGTCTGTCCCTCACAGCCGACGCGCCCGGAAACCCTCATCCACACCTTCATCACTTCCCGGCTGGATTATTCCAATGCCCTCCTCGCTGGCCTCCCCAGGTCCAGCATACACAAAATCCAATTAATTCAAAACTCTGCCGCTCAGATACTGACCCGCACAAAACTCCGTACCCCCATCACCCCAGTCCTTGCCAGGCTCCATTGGTTCCCAATCACCGAATGTATTGACTTCCGGATCATCTCACTTTGGGATGTCCTCCTGACGTGAAAAGTATTATATAAGTGTAAATTTGTACTGTCATGTTGTATTTGACTGGGGGTTACTTCAAAGATATCAGGAACTGGACAGGACAAAGTAAACACAAGTCAATACACAATACTTCTAAGAATTGCTTTATTTGACTGCTGCTGTGCACGTAAGGACAGCTATATTGGTCTATGTAGTCATCACAAATAAAACAATTAATTCAGTATTAGGTTCACAATAGCAGAGAATTCACTGGATTAATTTTTTCAGCACACCGGTCAGTTTCAAGACTGCAATAGCTTTGGGTGGTTCTGCTGAGTATTGTAATGTCGATCACTCCACATTTAATGAAAGTGTTTGGCACATAGGAGTAAAGTTTTCTGGCATTTTAGAACACAATCTTCATGTTAATTAACGAAAGGAACAGCTTGTGAAACGATACAAGAGGTACCCCAATCTTAAGATAAAACAGCAGAGATTCCCACTCAATTCCTGTTAACATTGCAAGTCAAGGCCCTAGGGTACAGAGTGGTCCTGGCTGGGCAACAAACAGAAAGCTCACCATACAGTAGCAAGCTATGCAGTTTTTAGTTGGTTAAACTTACGCAACTTACCTGTCAACACTTCAAGACTCTAACCTGTGTGAAGGGCACTGTATAAATGCAAGTTGTTGTTGCTGTTATCTATCTGTCTAACGGGAAACATGAAAAACATCTGAGGGAACTGACTCTATTAGTTTTCAATCTCTTTTAAGAATTACAGAAAATCAACTTCAAAGTGAAGTGTTTTATAACATCCTCCCAACGTGAAAGGAGTTTATATAAATGTAAATTTGTACTACTTTGGTTATATTGTAAGAGAGAATTCAACAATTAGCTAAATTCTGGTTGTTCTAAACTGCTACATATATGGATGAAATCTAAACCCAAGTGGAATTTCTCCCCATTGACTTATCAAACCTGCATCATTTATCAATAATCTTCTTAACCGTTACTGTTCTAGTTAAAACAGCAACATTTTCCTGAGTCATTCCTCATTAGTAAAGCCTCTGATCCCAGTTATCATCTTATGAATCTCCTTTTTATGGGGTTAGTTAGTCAGTCCTTTAGTTTGTTTGTTTGTTTGTTTATTAGTTTGGATTTCATCAGGGATTGGTCATCATCTCAGCAAAATACATGAAGGACATTAGTGTCTATTAATAACTTTTTAGGTTGATGGCATATTTTTTACATCAATAATAATATACAGTACTGAAAATGATAATTTCTCATTCATGACAGAACACTGTAAGTTTTCAAAAAAATATTCTTCCAGCCGACCGATAAGCAGAGTTAAAAATGTACCAGAAAAAAACATTTCCGCGTGTTGTAAAAACGTTGGGAAATTATACAGATTTGTTGAAAACGTGAAAATGAATGAGTTGTTCGAAGGGATTAACCTGGATTTGGATTTGACAAAAGGGAATGGAGAGGAACAGGGGGAGATATCTGGAGGTTATAACAAGCCGTCAACGCCTGCCCTTCGCTTTCACGCTGGTTAACTTTACGGTTTCCTCTGAATGGGACGTGCAGTTACTTTTTGTCTCAACCTGCAGACCCACCATGAACTGATAGACCAGAACGCCAAACATGGCCCCGACGATTGGGCTGAGAACTGGCACCCAAAACCAATAGTTCCCTGTGCTGAAAAGATAAGAAGGCAGCAAATAAAGGCACTGGGTGTTAATGAACATTGAATGAAACAAAATAATAATAATAATAACATTAATCCTTAGATTTGATATAGTGCCTTATCACGTCATCGAAACATCTCAAAGCACTTCACAGAAGAAGAATAATAATAATCCTTGAATTTGATATAGCACCTTATTACGTCATCGAGGCATTTCGAAGCTCTTCGTAGGATATACTGTAAAGTGTAGTGACTGTGTATTTTGTGGGTGAAACGTGGCAGACAATTGCGTGCAGCAGTGTTCCACAGATAGTCATGGATTGGGCGACCAAATTTTTTTAAAAGGGTTTATTACCTCTGGGAAACGATCCGCCAATCGACTAACAACCAAGTTCCTACTTACTGCTAGGTAAACAGAGGCGTGTGGAGTAAGGAATCTTGCTTAAGGTTTTGCCCTGCCGGGAATTGAACCCAGGTCGTCTCGCTTGCGAGGCGAGTGCTCTGTACGCTGTAGGACTCCTAAAATGAAATTGCTTTAACAAGTTTAAAACTTTAAAAAGTGCAATATTATTCTGGTTGCTGATATGGAAATCTCCTGCTCTCCCCCAATCACAGCAACAAGATGGCGAAAGGGACCTTCTTGTATCAATATTATAAAAATAATAATCCTTATATTTCATATAAGCACCTTTTGGAAGGATGTCTCAAAGCACTTCACAGAATTCACTTTACAGTATGCCCTGTGAAGTGCTTTGCTACGTCCTCCCGATGTGAAAGGTGCTATATGGAATGCAAGAATTATTCATATTTTATTTGTAATAATATTTCCCTGGTACCTGTCTACCTCTCCGATCTGTTCACACCCAACTCTACTTCTGCAAATCCGTCGTCCCTCCATCATTGATGACTATTAAAAATCTGGAATTCCCTGCCTTAATCCCTGCATTTTGCCCCCTCTTTGCCCATCTTCAGATCACACTTGAAAACTTTGCCCTTCGACAATGCCTTCAGTCTGCTCCCCTCTCTTTCCAGCTCGGGATCCAACCACACCCCTGTTAATCGCACTGCGACTTTGCTCGCACGAAGGGCGCTGTATATATGTAAGTTGTTGTTGTTTGTGTAGGGAGGAGGTAGTATTAGAAGTTCTAGGTAAGACCCCATTATAGATATACGTCCCCCTCTTCTTCCAAATAACTAGTCATTCGTGAAAATAAATGAAAAACAACCTTATTGAATAAGGAATAGCGGAGGAGAGTACCTGAAAACGTCATATCCCCAGCCAGCCATGGCGCTGAACAAACGAGGTCCAATGTCTCTGGCAGGATTTAAGCAATACTTGGAGTTGAAGCCCATGGACAAGCCAACGATTAGAACCACAAAGCCTATGGTGAAAGCCTCCAGCCCTGTGGCCACCGGTCTTTTCAGTGGATCCGCGATGGTCAGGATACAGAATATGAGAGCGGCCGTGCCGATGACCTGGTTTCCGGGCAGGAGCAACAACAACAACAAATTACATTTGTACAGCGCCTTTCACATCGGGAGAACATCCCAAGGTGCTGGAAACAGGCATGTGGAGTAAGAAAACTTGTTGCTGGGAATCAAACCCGCATCCTCTCACTTGCAAAGCGATTCCTCTGACCATTACGCTACAGGCTTCCATAAACAATCAGTGATTTGTAGAAAGTTTATATTCACGGGCCACCTCCACTGTTTTATTGCGCATACAGTATGATCACAAGATCGGTCTGAATGAAGAAGGCCCTTCAGCCCACCCAATCTCGTCCTTCCAGATCTCATCCACCCTACACAGCATCAGCTGCTTTTTAAATGAGTCCATTGTCCTGGCCTTCACTAGTCGTGGCAATCTGTTCTAGTGGTTGATTACCTTCTGTTTAAAGGGAAAAAAACCTCATCCCCGCCCACCTTGGTTCACACCCCCAGTTTGGGAGCAAACCCTGGACTGTCCAGCACCTTGGAATGTCCTCCTGATGTGAAAGGCACTGTATAAATATACATTTGTTATTGTCCTGGCATCTGTCTTGAAATTGCACTTTACAACTGTTTGACTCAGCCTTGACTCAGTTGGTGTCAAGCTAAGCGGTTTTAGCAGGTTGGACTCCAGCAGTTACCCCAACACACGCTGGGGTCCCCAAGCCTTGGCACTCGCCAATTTGCACCTAATACTTTCCAGAATCAGATAAACAGGAAGCATCGCTCCAGGGAGAAAGTGCACATTCTATTCCAGACACAGGGAAATTTCCATGTGTAGGTGGCACACATATGTGTTCTCAAAGTCTTAAGCACTTGCTACAAAATTCTTTGGACTCTGAAGCTGGTTTTCCTATTTTTATTCCAGTAAATAAAACAACGCATTTAATCTCATACATTTCTGCTCACTTACATGGTCAAGAAACCCATTCACCACAGTCAAATCTTCGGATGGGTATGTGGTAAATATAGCAGCAGTGGAATTGGGTCCAATGATTGTGAGTTGATTGTTACCATAGTGCATTATTGCATCTGCAATGATATCATGCAAACCCTCATTAGGTAATTTGTGAATCCTTCAAAAGTAAATTAGATAGATTTCTTTAAGGAAATTATATCTCGGGATACCATGTATAGTTTGGGACATGACATGCGCATGTGACCGCCAGGGTGATGGAAGGCGAACTGGATGGACCTTGGTCTTCTTTCATCCAGCAATTCTTATATTATATTCTTATCTCTGTTGGTTTTTTTTGGAAAATGCTAATGAACTAAAGAAAACCTAATTAAGCATTTTAAACATTTCTGCGCAGTCTCAAAGTCTAAGAATGGTCTTAATAATAATAATAATAATCCTTGCGTTTCATATAGTGCTTTTCAAGTCTTCTAGACGGCTCAAAGAGCTTTACAGAATATACTGTGAAGTGAATTGACTGTATATTTGTGGGCAAGATGATAACACCATGAGGAATTTCAGAGTTGTGGTACTCTGATTTCAGCAAAGGACAATATTGAAAGCAACAGTGCTACTTTTGGGGTCCGATTGGAAGAAAACTGTGAGTGTCCTCTTACTATCTTGATTTATATTTTTTGAAGCGATGTCTAGGCCCTTGTTTTGGTGGCTTATATCTTTTAAATGCGACATTGACAACCGTTATATTGATGCATAGGATCGAAAGAAAAGTTACTTCATTACTTACTGTGATACAAGCCAAACATTATCCCAGATCCAAAAAATGCTCCCAATGTTTGTGCCACAAAGAAGAAGGGGAATTTTATCCAGGGTTCACAAGCAAGTAAGCACAAAGCAAAGGTCACAGCAGGATTCAAGTGAGCTCCTGGACAGGATTACAAAGACAACAAGATATTACCTATGAAGAAATCAAATTGGGCTATACTGCATTTTACAAAGAATGTTCAGCATGGAACAACCTTTCCTGGTGATTATATGCCACATAAGTCTCTGAGCACTCCTTACTTCCTCCCATACGCTTCTAAACCTTCAAAGGTTTGAGCTTATTATGTTTGTTATAATAATAATAATCTTTGCATTTGATATGGAGCCTTATCAAGTCATGAAGATGTCTCAAAGGATACACTGACAACAACAACAAATTACATTTGTATAGCGCCTTTCATGTCGGGAGGATGTCCCAAAGTACTGAGTATTATTATTACAACAAGAACAAGAGCAAGATTACATTTGTATAGCACCTTACACGTCAGGAGGAACGTCCCAAAGTGCTGGACAGTGTACAGCATTTCAGACCCAAGCTGGGGTCAGGGAGGGAGAAGGGAGGGGAGGGGAAGGGGGGTGACGGATAACATGGTCGAAGAGGAGGGTTTTGCGGCGGGACTTGAAGGAGGCTAAGAAGAGGGCGAGGCGGAGTGATTGGGGGATGGAATAATAATATTTATTATTATTATTATTCCATGTGTAGGTGGGATGCACACAACGCTCAGTTTGGTTTGGATACTCCTAAGCACGGTGCTGGGTTTCCACGTGTGTCAGACACCCAGCTGACAGAAAAGGCCTGCTAAAAATTAATTTACTCGGAAATGGAATAGAAAGGATATGTTTTCACCCCATCCATCAGGCTGGAATTAAACAAAGGTCAGAGAAGTGAAGGAGCAGCATTCCAGCTCACTACACCAGCCAGACCCTTCGTGGGGAAACCGGATGACATTTTAAATAGCACTGCTTAATGCCACTGTTTTTAATGCAAGTCAGGTGGTTTGTTTGTACCTGACATTTCAGCACACAAAAATAAAAGTTTTAACACAGGCACCGAACATGAGTTTTAATTATTTTTCTAAAGAGCTTTTCTCAAATCTCACCCTGACATTTTGTCTACTTAACAGGCGTTTACATCCCGGAGAGGCCTTCCGACCTCAGAGCTTCACACTTTTTTTTATTATTATTATTATTAATGATCCTTACATTTGATAAGCTTCCTCCAACTTAATTAGGATGAGATGGGAGCCATCCTCCTCGGCTCCCGACTACATCTCCTCTCTTCCTGCTCTAACCTCCTCAACCTCTCTGGTCTCTCCCTCAATCTTTTCAGTGTCTCCCTCAAACCCTCCGAACTTGTGCGCAACCTTGGCGTCCGGTCTAATCCCCAGCTTTCCTCCAGTCCCTCAGCAAGGCTGGCTTCCTTCTCCTCTGCCATGTCTAAGTGGTAGATCTATATAAATATGTTTGTGTTGTAGTTTGTATTGTATCACCTGCCTCCAACTCCATCTCACACCCAATGCTGCTGAAACACCTCGTCACATCCTGTTTAGACCTCTTCAATATAATCCTTGCATTAACCCTACACTCAGGGCACTATAGAAATTTCAAGTTGTTGTTCTTCTTATCTCAATTATGGAGACGTCTCAAAAGCCCTTTACACGATGTACTGTAAAGTGTAGTTATTGACTGTGTATTTTGCAGGCGAATGGTTTGAGAGCAGTTTGATGCACATACCTGACACTTTACCGGTTACAAGTATACCAAGAGCCACCGCAAAGCCAAGGGTGAAAGTAAGAGTCAAAAACTCTCTCTGCTCACCGCGACTGAGGGTGTATTGTGCCATTGCTCCACAGCTGAGCATCTACAAGGAAACAAAGCAACAATTAACTTTCTCCCGTCTGCTCCTGTTACATGATACACACACCACCTCTTGTCCTTTTCCTAGAATAATATTAATAGTGCTCCTATTTAATGTAGTGCCTTTCACGTCATGAGGATATCATAATTACACATTGAGCGATTTTACAATATAAAATTACATTTGCAAAGTGCATTTCACGTCAGGAGGACGTCCCAAGGCGCTGAAATGTCAGGGATTAGGACCCGAGCTGGGGGGGCGTGGTGGGATCAGGGAAGGTGGATGGCAGAGAGGGTAGGAGGGTGGCCACAGGTACGGTCGAAGAGGAGGGTCTTGAGATGTGCCTTGAAACAGGCAAGGGAGGGAACGAGGTGAAGGGAATGTGGGATGGTTTCAGAGGGTGGAGGCAGAGTGGCTGAAGGACCGACCGCCGATGGTGGGGCGGACTGGGCAGGGGACATGGAGCAGGCCAGAGCCTGCTGAGCAGAGGGACAGGACAGGTTGATAATGGGTTAGCAGGTCAGAAAATTAGGAGGGGGCAAGGCCATGGAGAGCTTGAAGGTGAGGATGAGAATTTTTAACTCAATCCTCTGAGGGATGGAGAACCAGTGGAGTCGGGCGAGGGTGGCGGTTATGGGGTCACAGAGCCTGGTGCGGGAAAGGACACGAGCTGCAGAGCTCTGGATGGTCTGCAGCTTGTGGAGGGAAGAGTTGGGAAGGCCGACTAGCAGGACGTTGGCACAGTCAAGTCAGGTTGTAATAAAGGCATGTATGAGGGATTCGGTGGCCTGAGGGGTGAGGCTGTGGCAGAGTCGGGCAATGTTTCGGAGGTTAGGGAAGGCAGAGCGGGTCATGGCATGGATGTGGGAGAGAATTGACAGTTGAGGGTCAAACAAGACGCCTGAGTTCCTGACTGGCTCGGTGAGGTGGAGTGTGCATCCGTGGATTCTGATGTTGACGGTTCGAAAGTGTGGAGGGAGGGATGGGTAGGGGCCAGAGTTTGAGGGAGAGATGGGGAGTGGGTGGTAGTTGGGAGGGCAGAGGCAGCTGAACGGAATCCCTCGATTTTGGTCTCGAGGAAATCCAGCATCTCCTCGCAGTTGGAGTTGGAGGAGAGGATGGGCAAGGGGTAAAAGGGTGGACAGAGGAGCCAGTTGGTAATGGAGAGGAGAAGCCTGGGGTTGGTTGTCTTTGGCCTCCAAGATTATCTTGGAATAGAACGACAATTTAGCCGAGGCGAGAGCGGAGCGGTAAGCTTTAATGTGGTCCAGCCAGATCTGCCAGTGGACCGTTAAATCAGATTTCAGCCAAGTGCATTTGGAGGCCCGCACCTGACCCTTGAATGAGCGGTGTCTGGTGTGCCAGTGTGAGTTGTGTGAGTAGGAGGTGGTTCGGGAAGTGAGAGAAGCAAGGGCATCGAGAGTGGTGGAGAGGGAGTTGTGGAGGAAAGTGACCAAGAAGAATAAGTCAGAGGGGGAGGACTTCAGACAACTCCAGGGCAGTGGAGAGTGGGGGTGGGGGGGGCAGATTATTTTCCAGGGGCAGTGGGAGATGGAGGTGGATTGTGTAGCAGTGGGGCAAGGAATTGAGGAGTTAAGGGAGATGTAATTGTGATCTTTATCGGCGATTGTGAGGTCCGAGACACTGTGGCCCTGGGTAATCACCAGGTCAAGTGGGTGGCCATGAACGTGGGTGGCAGAGTGGATGTGAGGGACAGATTGCGAGAGGAAAGGAGAGAGGAGAAGCTGGTGGAGATAGAGCAAGTGGGGGTGAAGTGCAAGTTGAAGTCGCCTCAGATGAGGAGGCATTCGGAACAGAGGCAGAGGGAAGCTAGGAGGGTGGAGATGTCGGAGATGAGGGTGGGGAGGGTTTGGGAGACGATAAATCAGGAGAATTTTGAGGGAAAGATTGGAGGGATGGTAGAGGGTAAGGTGCTCTAACCACTGAGTCCTGTAGCTCAGTGGTTAGAGCACTCACCTCGCAAGCGAGAGACCTGGGTTTGATTCCCGGCAGGGCAAATCCTTTGGCAAGTTTCCTTATTCCACACGCCTGATAATAATCCCTCAAGAACAAAAATAGAATAATAATTTGATCACTCAATCCACGACTGTTTGTGAGACACTGCTGTGCGTAATTGGCTGCCGCAGTTAGCTCACAATATACAGTCAATTCACTTTATAGTATATTCTGTGAAGCGCTTTGAGACGTCTAGAAGACTTGAAAAGCGCTATATCAATGCAAGGATTATTATTAGTTATTATTATAAGGTGCTCGAAGGAGGGGAATGAGCCAGAGGAGTAGGAGGACAGAGCAAGAGACGACCTGGAGCTGAGGGTCATACTAGAATAATAATAATAGTGCTCCTATTTAACATAGCGCCTTTCATATCACGAGATATCGTAATTACACATTGAGGGATTTTAGTGTGAATTGTAGTGACTGTCTATTATGTAGGAAGCCATGACGGCCAATTTGTCCTTCATTGGAATTTTATTTAACTGCAGCAAATTGCACTTATTTAGCACCTTTCACGCGGGGAGGATGTCTCAAAGCAAGTTACAAAGAATGAGTGGAAGGGAGGGGTTGGCGGGTGGGTTGTGGGGGGTGGGGGGGGGGGGCGGCGGGGAATAGGGGGAGATGGTCGAAAATGCAGTCAAAGAGATAAAGTCTTCAGACCGAATTTCAAAAAGAGAGAGGTGAGCGTTCGAGGCAGAGGGATTTTGGAAGAGATCCAGTGTGTGGTTGAAAGCTCACCAGCTGATGGTGGGACAGAGTGGCCAGAGCATCCTGCCCACTCACGCATGGCACAGGCCAGAGTTTGCAGACCAGAAAGACTAGCAGGAGAGTAGGGTCACAGGAGATAAGGTGGGGCAAGTCTCAAGAAGGCATTTGAAGGTAGGACAAGGGATCTTAACATTGATTCATCATTGGGAGGTTAGGGAGCCAGTGAAGTCGAGTGAGGAACGGGTTGACACAAAATAATAATAATAACAATAGCAATAATAATCCTTACATTTGATATAGTGCCTTATCACAACTTCAAAACGCCTCAAAGCGCTTCACAGAATAATAATAATAATCCTTGCATTTGATATAGCGCTTTTCACGTCTTCTAGACGTCCCAAAGCGCTTCACAGAATATACTGTAAAGCGAATTGACTGTATATTTTGTGGGCAAAACACAGCAGCAAATTGTGCACAGCAGTGTCCCACAAACAGTCATGGATTGAATGACCAAATTATTTTTTTAAAGGGATTATTATCCCCAGAAAAGCGATCCGCTAATCAACTAGCAATCAGGTTCCTACTTACTGTTAGGTAAACAGAGTCGTGTGGTGTAAGGAAACTTACTCAAGTTTCGCCCTGCCGGGAATCAAACCCAGGTCTCTCGCTTGCGAGGCGAGTGCTCTAACCACCGAGAAGTAACTATATAGAAGTAGGATTGAGATTCATAGCATCTTTATAGACACACTTTATGGATTATTGAACACATTAGCAAAGTAAGCCAAATCTAGAAGACGGCCGGTGTAAAATTATAGGGTGTCAGTTTGGCTCAGGTAATAGCACTCTCAGCTCTCAACAAGTCAGAAAGTTATGGGTTCAAGACCCACATCAGGAGTTTCAACTCATAGTCTGTATTGAAGTGTCTATGAGTCATACTCACCTTCAGGTGAGATGTTAAACCAAGGTCCCGACTGCCTTTTCAGGTGGATGTTAACAATCCCATGGCACCATTCAAAAAGAAAAAGGAGTTTCTTCCAGTGTCCTGGCCAACAATTGCCAGATAATAATATAAATAATAATCCTTGCATTTGATATAGCGCTTTTCACATCTTCTAGACATCTCAAAGCGCTTCACAGAATATACAGTAAATTGTGTGCGAAAAATAAAATTGGTCATCTCAATTCATTGTAAACCATAGTTGTGTGCAAAATTGGCTGCAAGGTCACTACACTTCCCAGTGAAACCCTGTGAAGCACTTTTTTCCCAACGTGAAAGGCGCTATATGAAATATAGGGATTATTACTATTATTATTAATAGCAGAAGCACAAACCTTAGGAAGACAAATATTTTCCAAAGTGGTTCTTGCCGCTAACAAATAAACAGATGCTCCCTTTATTCTTAAAGTGATAACCTCTCCACAGGCAGCTCCGAAGACTGTAAAAACAGAAGCTGGTTTTCGCATGATTCTGCGCATCCACCTGCTGCCCCTCTCATATTTTGTGACAAACAGAAGAAAAAACCGCAGAGCGAACTCCAGGCAAAAACGGATCCACGGAAAGCACGGAACAGGTCACCGGAACAAGCAGCGAGAGTCGATGGCTCTGAATATCATCCCCGTGGGCAGAACTCACCGTGTGGATCAACGTTCCCAAACATTCCGCCAGGCATTGCTTTGCCAGCACGCTCCGCACTCTGAATGTCGTTGCCATCCTTCTCAGGGTTTCTCTTTGTATCCCCATTGTTACCCCTTGTCCCGGTGGTGAACAGCGAGGCTTTGAGGAGTTTGAGGACCTGTTGATCTGGATTCAGTGTAGGAGCCGCTGGTTGAGAGCTCTGCATCTGCAACAACTTTAAATATCCTCCACCGTCCACCTAACGGCCCCAGTCAGTCGCCATTTAAAGCAAGACTGTCAGTGATTCACATTGACTTATCGTTTTAGGAATAAACTGTTCCCTTACATTGAAGCAGAAATACGTTTCAGCCATGTAACACCCTGTGTTTTTCTTTTCTTTATCATTTCTTTCTCAAGCTCTGCGGCCTTCCTTTGCAATTAGTTTCGATGTTAAGACTTTTATTTTACGGTCCGTTGACCAAAACTGCAACTCAGCATCTTTTAAGGAATAAATAATCCTACAATCCCTGCATTTGACAAAGCACCTTATCACGTTCTTCAGACGTCTCAAAATGCTCACAGTAAAGTGGATTGACTGTATTCTGTGAGTGAAACATGGCACACAGTAGTGTCCCACAAACAGCCATGGAATGAATGACCAATTTTTATTTGGGGGATTGTTGGCCAGAACACCTGGACAAACTCCCTTCTCTTTTCACATAACGCCATGGGATCTTAAATGTCCACCTGATGGGACCTTGGATTAATATCTCAGGCCTTCAGCCTCTCTGCACCCACCCTTTGGAACTCCATCCTAACAGTCCCTTTGCCTCGCCCCCTCCCTCGCCTCTTTCAAGGCATGTCTCAAGACCCTTCTCTTCAACCGTGCCTTTGGTCACTCTCCTACCCCTACCTTCCCTGCCCTCCTGATCCCTTACATTAAAGCAGAAATATGTTTCAGCCATGTAACACCCGCGTTTTTCTTTTCTTTTTCATTTCTGTTCGGGTCCACATCCCTGACTGTCCAACGCCTTGGGACATCCTCCCGATGTGAAAGGCGCTAAACAAATGTAATTTATTGCTGTTGTCTCATCCTATTGACCATTTAACATCCATTTCGTGAGTTGCAATTCAATCCATTATCAGTCTTCGTTTTGCACAGAGTTTGGTTTAGAAATCAGGTCATAAAAAACATGGTGTTTCAAAGGTATGTCATTTCATAATCACAAGAAATGGTTTTGCAGAAGTAATCATTTCAAAGATAGTTACTAAAAAAAATTGGTTTTATTATATAATAATAATCTTTGCATTTGTTATAGCACCTTTCACAACCAGAGGATGTCTCAAAGGCCTTCACAGGAATGAATAATAATAGTAATAATAATAATTCTTGCATTTGATATTTTTTAAAAAATATATTCACTAGACAATTTGTGTTTTATTATTATTAACAATAATAATCCTCACATTTCATATAGGGACTGTGGTTCTTTGCGATGTCCTCCCGACGTGAAAGGTGCTATATCAAATGTAAGGATCATGATTATATTTGAGTTCCAGGAAAAGCAACCTCCCCAAAATTCTGAAGCACTGCAGCTTCACTAACCCATACAATGCCTTGAGATTAAGATTTGCTAATGCCAGACCTTATGCCTTGGTGACCCAGGTTAGAAAGACAGGTTCCAATTGTAGACTGTGTAGGCACTATAAATGTAATCATGTAGTCATTAAACCATGACTTTTTTCGTGTAAACAACTATAAATCTTAAGTTTTTGTCAATTGCAGGATAGGAATAAATGTCTTCAAATAGCATACGGAAAACCGACATCAAAATTAAGCCTGTATTTAAGAATTTGCCAAGCTCTGGTCGCCTGAAATGCTAAGAGAATGGAGTGAATCTAAACCCAGATGGATTTTCTTCTCCCTTTTAAAGCTAAAATTAGTTGTTTGTAAAAGGTAGTTGACTTTCTAGTGGTTGGCAAGACAAGGCATATGTCCAAAATCAATGATATATAATGTAACTTTCGATTAAATAAAATAGAATGATTGAACATTCACTGCAAATTTAAGGAATGTTTGTGAGACAAAGAGCTTTAGCTTGAATCTTTCCACAACTTCCACAACAGCGGAGTCCTGTAGCTCAGTGGTTAGAGCACTCGCCTTGCAAGCGAGACACTTGGGTTCGATTCCAGGCAGAGGGCGAAACCTTGGGCAAGTTTCCTTACTCCACACAGAGCCTAATAATAATCCCTCCAAAACAAAACAATAATAAATTGGTCATTTTCAATCTACGACTGTTTGTGGGACACTGCTGTGTGCAATTGGCCGCCGGTTTCGCCCACAAATATACAGTCAATTCACTTTACAGTCTATTCTGTGAAGTGCTTTGAGACGTCGAGAAGACATGAAAAGCGCTACATCAAATGCAAGGACTATTATTATTATTATAACTTGCATTTGTGTAGCGCCCTTCACAAAGGGTAGCATCGCAGAGCGCTTGACAGTAGCAGAGCACGACGTCGAGACAGGGGAGGAGGGTAGATGACTGTTGTCATGGTCGAACACAAAGATCTTCAGGCACGACCTGCAGATGGGGTAAGAGGGGACAAGGCAGAGGAATAGAGAAAGAGTGTTCCAGAGTTTTGGGGAGTAGTGGCTGAAAGCGTGGCCACTGATGGTGGAACGGAGGACTCAAGGGACAAAGCAGGAGGCCAGAGCCAGTCGAATGGAGGCAGCGAGTAGTGGGTTGGGGAGTCAGTAGGTCAGAGGGGTAGGAAGGTACTCGTTACACAACTGGTTGAACACAGGAATGGTTGAAAATAACAAATCTTTAGTTTTTAAACAAGGTCAGAACGGTGATTAAGGGAATTATTAGGTGCTAAACAGGAAGCAATTCAAAGGCATTTAACAACCATAATGGCAATAATTCCGACCATAAAAGGCCATTCTGACCTCGGAAATTCACTGGAATCTTTGAGTGGACCCAACAGTGTGTCTGTCATTCTCTCCCTCCCAACACCCCCCAGTTCTGACGAAGGGTCGTGGACCCGAAACGTTGACACACTTTCCTTTCTCCCGTCAGACGCTGCCTGACCAGCGACTTCTGACGTACACTCTCAGGACTCTTGGGTTACATCTCAAGCCTCATCCCTCTGTACATTTCACATGGGGGCACTCAGACGGATGGACTGCGTGAGGGGGGAGGTCAGGATCGGGAGGGGGTGGAGGAGAAGAACAAGGGTGGGAGTGGGAGTGGGAGGGTGACCAAAGGAAGGGAGTGGGAGGGTGACCAAAGGAAGGGAGTGGGAGGGTGACCAAAGGAAGGGAGTGGGAGTGGGAGGGTGACCAAAGGAAGGGAGTGGGAGGGTGACCAAAGGAAGGGGGGAGGGTGACCAAAGGAAGGGGTGGGAGGGTGACCAAAGGAAGGGAGTGGGAGTGTGTTTTACTCTGTTGTTCATTGGGAAGGGAGCTCTGCTGGTGCAGAGCCTAAAAAAATTGGGTTAAAAACTCGTAAATGCTCCTCTCCACGGAAATCTTTAGTAAAAGGCGAAAGATTTATACGATCTGAAGAGAAACCAGAGCATAGCCCGGGAGAGGTCCAGCCGCACACCAACGCCGCCCAACTCTCCTCTTTGTTGCGGTACAGCAGATTTCAAGCCCTCGCCGTTTGCCACCAGGTTGAACGCCGTGCGGCTGAGCTCCTGGGTTTCCCGATGCACAACACGGCCATTCTGCACTTGAGCACTTTTGAAGACATATTGGCCAACTATTGGTGACCGTTTAATTGTTTATGTTTCATTATTCTGACCTGCAAGGTATTGTGGGCACGTTGACGGCTCAGTCACGCAAATAACGGGCACTGGGGAGAGCCAACAGGGGGCGCCATACTGACAAGAGCAGCTACAAGACGTACAAAGATTCTCTTAACTTTGCATAGGTTTGGTCCGCAAAATACTTTACAAAATCCACTTCGCAACGTATTCTGTGAAGCGCTTTGAGACGTGTCAAAACAACGTGGTTTGAGACTTCTCGTGGCCCTATCACCCCCATCCTCGCCCGACTCCATTGGCTTCCCATCATACAGAGGATACAGTTCAAGATCCTGGTCCTCACTTTCAAAGCCCTCCGTGGCCTTGCTCTCCCCCTACCTCTGCGATCTCCTAGCCCCTTACCAACCTGCCTGCTCCCTCCGCTCAGCGGGCTTCAGCCTGCTTCACATCCCCCGTCCCACTATTGGCAGGCAGACCTTCATCCACTCTGCTCCCACCCTCTGGAATCCATCCCGGAGTCCCACCGCCTCACCCTTGCCTCCTTCAAGACCCATATCTAGACCCTACTCTTCGACCGTGTCTTCGGTCCCATTCCTTCCACCTCTTCCCTTCACCCTCCTCCATCCCGACTTCCAACTCGGGTCCAAAACAGCGCCTTGAGACATCCTCCAGATGTGAAAGCACTATACTAATGTAATTTTGTTGTTGTTGATAAAGTGCTATATCAAATCCAAGGATTAATTAATCAATAGATGCATAAACGTCAGAGGTTGTGCTGTTTTTTATTCTGGTGTGAACAAAGGAGTAGGTCGCAGGTGCTATTTGATTTATGAGACGGAGTGAGAACAGTAAAATAGCATAAACAGATTGAAAATGACATCATCTTGTGGCACTATGTGGCACTGTAAAAAAGCACAAACACAGATGTGTTGATGGTGCTCAGCAATTTTGTCATCAACTTATATTAGATTGTGCTTGTAATCAAAAGATGACCAGATTCCAAAGTGAATCACTTTCAGGAAATCTGTGTTGTGATGTGATGAGAATGAAGATCAATTGTATTGTTACTGTTCTGAGTTCCTTTTCCTCTGTTTTGTCTCCTTTCCCTGCACGGCCTGCCACACCGTCAGAGGTCGGGCCTTCAGCTTTTCTGCCCCCACCCTTTGGAACTCCATTCCACAGTGCCTTCACCTCACCCCCTCCTTTGCCTCCCACAAGGCATGTCTCAAGGCCCTCCTCTTTGACTGCACTTTCGGTCACCCTCCTAACCCTACCGTCCCTGGCCTCCAACTCTCCCAATCCCAACCACCAGCTCGGGTCCTAATCCTTGACTGTCCAGGGCCTTAGAACCTCTTCCCTACGTGAAAGGCACTGTACAAATGTTATTTGTTGTTGTTGAAGACAAGAACAACTCTTTCAATGTAAATATTTCAAGGAGATACAATACAAAAAATATTTTTGTAGCAGGCGGAGATGAAGCAGGCGGAGAGGAACTCAGAGCAGTAACAATGCAGTTGACCTTCATTCTCATTACAGCAATACTCCAAGCAGTCTCAAGATGATGTATTGCTGCAGTAAATCATTAAGTTAAATACAACCAAGAATTTTTATCTACATTGATCAGGCAAGATTTTTCCACCCTGATAAATGAAACATGTTTCCACTTTTGGCACCTAGCATCAGCATCAACTGCCCTCATTTGAGGTAGTGCATGGCTAGACATACAGTAGAGTATTTTTTTACTTTGCCATACATCAAATGTGTGTCAAGCTGATGTGGTACCAAAACATGTATTCATAATCCAGGTTGACTGTAGTCCATTACTGAGGGATTGATAGCTGTATTGTATGTTGTGCTACCTTTGGAGGTGTGTCAACCTGAACATTAGCCAGAATATACTGCATAATAGAGTGATTGTGTGTTTTATGAACGAACAGGGCAGCCAATTTGTGCACAGCAATATCTCACAATCAGTCTTGAAGTGTGTTAGGTATCCTTTATGAGTAATGGATAATTTGAGAAGAAGCAATGAAATTGAAGCTAGAAGTATAAAAGGGATCCTGGGAAGGCCCTGTCGTTGTGGGCTATGGTTGGAGTATTCGAGTGTTGCAAACTGATAAAAAGTACAATAACAACAACAAAATTACATTTGTATAGTGCCTTTCACATCGAGAGGACGTCCCAAGGCGCTGGACAATCAGTGTTTCAGACCCGAGCTGAGGGTTGAGATTGGGGAGGGTGGAGGGCGGGAGGGAAGGTGATCAAAAGCACAGTCGAAGAGGAGGGTCTTGAGATGGGTCTTGAAGTAGTTACTGAATACACCAGTTGTTGAGGATTGAGGATCATTACAACGTGAACAACCAATTTTATTTGGTGGATTATTCGTTAGTGAAAAAAACTCTGTGTGCTGTGTGCCTCGCCATGAAGTACCTCACACTGGGAGAAACTCCCAACCAATTTCGAATAGTGTCATGGGATCTTTAACGCCATTTGAACAGGCAGACGAGATCTCGCTTTAACATCTCTAGTTTCTAAAGGATGGCACCACCGACAATTCTGCATAACCCAAGCAATGCGCCAGAGCATCAGATTAGACAATATAAGATTCAGGCGCAGGACATGGGGCTTGAACCCACAACCTGACTGAAAGGTTTGAGTGCTAACAACTGAGCCGGGCTGACAACCTAATAATTTGCGACAGTGGGAGTGGCGGGAATGAAGGTGACAGCTCACATGTGCAACTCTTCGTCTGGTTTGATCACTCTTAAGCACAATGATCGACTTCAGCATGCATCAGACAACAAATTGCATTTATTTAGTGCCTTTCATGTCACGAGGACGGCCCAAGGCGCTAGACAGTGAAGAGATACGGCATATAGTTTGGGATATGGCATGCCAAGTGAACGCCAGGACGGTGGAACGTGAACGAGATGGACCTCGGGTCTTCTTCTTTCGTCCAGCAATTTTTACGTTCTCGTGTCCGTCGCCGAACGAGGGGTTGGAGTCAAGAAGGATGGAGAGCAAAGTGGGGGGGGGGGGGGGGGTGGGTGGGCGAGAAGATGACCGAAGGCACGATCGAAGAGGAAGGTCTTGATGGAAAGAAAGGAGAGGGCGAGGGTGGCGTTTCGGACCGGCTGAACGCTGATGGTGGAGCGAGCGAGCGAGCAGGGCGGGGGGGGTCCCGGGGCGCGGGGGGGCGGGGGGGGGGGGGCGTGGGGCAAGCGGGTTGGTAACGCTTCAGTCCTTCCCAGAGGAAGGAGGGGACCAAGACACCAGACTGAGCAGAGACAGCAGCCCCACGTGACACTCACACACTCCCCCCCCTCCCCCCACCCCACACTGGGCGCTGCGCATGCTCAGTGTTGGTTTCTCGGAATCTTCCCACGCCCCCCAAGGAGCGGTTACGTCACAATCGGCGGTGGCGGCGCTCGCCCCGGACCATCTTGTGCATCTGGTTGGCTTGGAGGAGCAGCTGGGAGGACTCGTCAGGCAGCCAGTCAGTCAGCCAGGGGGGGGGACAGAGAGACCAGAGCTCCAGCCAGCCCGGGCCTGAGTGTCTGTGAAGAGAGAGACCCGGGGCCTGAGTGTTTGTGAAGAGAGAGACCCGGGGCCTGAGTGTGAGCAGAGAGAGTGTGTTAGTGAAGAGAGGGAGAGCTGGGGCCTGAGTGTGAGCAGAGAGAGAGAGCTGGGGCCTGAGTGTGAGCAGAGAGAGAGAGAGAGTGTGTTAGTGAAGAGAGGGAGAGCTGGGGCCTGAGTGTGAGCAGAGAGAGAGAGAGAGAGTGTGTTAGTGAAGAAAGAGAGAGCTGGGGCCTGAGTGTGAGCAGAGAGAGAGAGAGAGAGAGAGCTGGGGCCTGAGTGTGAGCAGAGAGAGAGAGCTGGGGCCTGAGTGTGAGCAGAGAGAGAGAGAGAGAGAGCTGGGGCCTGAGTGTGAGCAGAGAGAGAGAGAGCTGGGGCCTGAGTGTGAGCAGAGAGAGAGAGAGAGAGCTGGGGTCTGAGTGTGAGCAAAGATAGTGTTAGTGAAGAGAGAGAGAGAGAGCTGGGGCCTGAGTGTGAGCAGAGATAGTGTTAGTGAAGAAAGAGAGAGCTGGGGCCCGAGTGTGAGCAGAGAGAGAGAGCTGGGGCCTGAGTGTGAGCAGAGAGAGAGCGAGAGCTGGGGCCTGAGTGTGAGCAGAGAGAGAGAGAGAGGGCCTGAGTGTGAGCAGAGAGAGAGAGAGAGAGAGAGCTGGGGCCTGAGTGTGAGCAGAGAGAGAGAGAGAGAGAGAGAGCTGGGGCCTGAGTGTGAGCAGAGAGAGAGAGAGAGCTGGGGCCTGAGTGTGAGCAGAGAGAGAGAGAGAGAGAGAGCTGGGGCCTGAGTGTGAGCAGAGAGAGAGAGAGAGCTGGGGCCTGAGTGTGAGCAGAGAGAGAGAGAGAGAGAGCTGGGGCCTGAGTGTGAGCAGAGAGAGAGAGAGAGAGAGCTGGGGCCTGAGTGTGAGCAGAGAGAGAGAGAGAGAGAGGGCCTGAGTGTGAGCAGAGAGAGAGAGAGAGAGAGAGGGCCTGAGTGTGAGCAGAGAGACAGAGAGAGACCCGAGCCCGGGGCCTGACTTTTTTTTATCCCCATATGATGCAATCGCTATCCTTCTCAGTGATGTGTGGAGAGTGGGTTTAAAGGCCGCCCTCCCCCTCCCCCCCTCCTCCCTCCCTCCCTCTCTCCCTCTCTCCTCCTCTCCCCCCTTGTGTTGCGGTGTGAAGGAGGAAAAAAAGGACAAGTCCCTTGATTTTCCTCTCTCTCTCTCTCTCTCCCTCTCTCTCTCTCTCCCTCTCTCTCTTTCTCTGAACTTCTCCTATTTGTTTGGGAGTCAGAGCCTATCCCCGAATATCCTTATAACCCCCCCTCACTCCCCCCGGGGGAGGTGCTGTTTGTTCTTCCTTTTTTTTTGTGTGTGTGTGTGTGTTACTATCACCATCACCACCACCATCATTAATTATTATTATTTTTCAGTAGTTTATTGATTCCCACCAGATTCTCAGACGACCCCCCCCCCTCCCCCTCCCCCCCACAATCTCTTTATTTTTCCAGTGGTTTATTTATTCCCCCCCCTCTTAAAAGGACCCCATTCATCTTCCCTCTCCCACAACCACAACCCCCTTTCCCCCTCTCCCACTCTCCCCCTTCCCCCCTCTCCTCCCCCCCACTCTCCCCCTCCCCCCCCAAAAAAAAAAACAACAACAACCCCCCCACTCCAAATCTCTCTCTCGTCTGTCTTATCCCTGCCGTGTGTAACCCGGTTGATCGCCCCCCGCCATGGCTCAGCAGCAGATGACGAGCTCTCAGAAAGCCTTGATGTTGGAGCTGAAGAGTTTGCAGGAAGAGCCGGTGGAAGGCTTCAGGATCACTCTGGTGGACGAGTCCGACCTCTACAATTGGGAAGTGGCGATATTCGGGCCCCCCAACACACTGTACGAAGGAGGATATTTTAAGGTATATATATATATATATATGTGTGTGTGTGTGTGTGTGTATCTATATATATGTGTGTGTATCAGAGACCCTTTTACATCTCGGATGGATGGACCAGCTTTAGCATTGTCAGAGAAAGGGGGTCATGTATGTAGTATGTAGTATGTAGTATGTAGGGGGTGGTTGGGGTGGGGGGAGAAGGTCAGCTCGATTTTAGGATTTTCCTGTATGTTTAGGGTGTTGCATTTGTTGGGGATGGTTAGATTTTGGGTCTTGTCCACACGGGTTTGATGACCCAGTGTTGTTTTTGTTTTTGTTGTTTTGTTCGTGTCCCCAAATTTAAACCTCGTCTTCTTTCTTTCTTTCTTTCTTTCTTTCTTTCTTTCTTTCTTTCTTTCTTTCTTTCTTTCTTTCTTTGTTGCTGTGTTCTGTTTGGGGATGTGATGTTTATGCCCCAAAGCTTACAGCCGAAGATGGTCTTGAATTGGCGTTGTGTTTGAACGTTTTGGTAGTTTTTTTTTAGTTTTTTTTTTTAATTTAACCCCCCCCCCCCAAAAAAAAATCGTGTGCAAGAGGTTTTGGTTGCAGTGGAAGCTTTGGGCACGATGTGGGGTTTTTTTTTGTTGTTACTGCTGCTGCATCTGTTATGAGTTGGGTTTCAGTGCCTACACGTTTATTTGTTGGCCTTACCAGATAGACATGAATGGTGGTGTTTTATTCAGGGGCTTGAGTTGTGAACTTGGAAGTGAATGTATTGTGTGTGTGTGTTTATTTTTTTTTAAGTTGAGCTGGAAGGATATTCCCCAAACACAAATGCCTGTGCCTTTGCTTGATGGCAATGTCTTTGGGACCCTACACATTTTAAAAGCAAAGATAAGTCCACTTAATGTAAAGCTGGCGTAATGTGGCACAGGGAGATTCTATGCCTAGTGTTTTTAAGTAACAGTACTGTCATCAGTAGGAATGTACTAACCCGATACAGTTCTTTTGTGTAAATGTTTTTCTTCCCCACCTCCTATGTCATCGAAGGAACTGCTGTCAGCGATGGCTTGTACTCTGTTTCCTAAATCTGGTGTTATTTTGTGAGTAGTGTGTGGACAGTGTGCTCAGCGGTTTGTTTTTGTACAAAGAAACCCGCTGACTGCATTGAATCGCCATCTGCGCAGTAATAAACTGCATTACTGTTTCCCAGTATCCCTTATTGCAGCAGATTCTCTTCTCTTTCACCATCACTAATAAAGGGGATGGGTTACTTATTAATCTCCCACACTGGTCTCTCTTAAAATCTGGTACTGGGAAGCAGGATTTCATAAATGTGGCTATCTGAGCTGAGGGGGAACATATTATTGTCGTAGGTTGTTGGTTATTCCAACCAAGGTTATAAAAAGCCGAAGGGCCTGCCTGAATTATATTTGTCGACTTGGTGTTTTCTTGGGGAAAAAATATGTTGTGGCAGATTAATCTTGGTAGCTTTGATCTTTTGTAAACAAATGTCTAAAGCTGCCTTGTGGTCACTCGATGCAACCATCATGCCGCTTATATATAGGAAAATAACATGCAACCTAGTAAAGAGGTTTGATTATTTAAGTTTTCTTCATTTGCGAGTAGGTAGTTTTCAGGATTTTTGGGGGTTTGACACATGAGGTCAGGTTACTGTTTGCTTCATCCAGGAAAAAAGGTTCTTTATCACTTTCGCAATGCTTTTGGCATTGCAAAATGGTATGTTGCAAAATAAGCACAGAATTCAACTTGCTTTTTGGGGGACAAAGTGTGACATTAACCTGTATATCTCCCTTTCTCTTCAAAAGAAACCTTTGATCTAGACTATTTCTGCAGATATCAATCCTTTAGGGTTACAATTTTAGTTGCACTACATAGAGCAATCTGAAGCATCTAAGTGAGATAACTAACTTTAGTAAAGCTGAGCAAAGTTGTTGTAGAGTACGTTATTTCCTTAAATAGATGAGGTTGAACTGTTGAAAATTGAACGGTTTGGGGAAAAAATTGCAGACCTGAGCTGTGCCAGGTGCACTTGATCTTGTGAAAATGCATCAAAGTCGCAAGTGTAGTGAATTGGTGCTCCAATGTGCTGTCACTGACTGGTGCAACAGGTTTAGTCTTTTTGGTTAAGATGGGAGGGTGAAATCGGTGGTACAAATTAAGTTCTTTGCAACTTAGAATATTGGAAGTACCCAACCCACTTCATTGTGTGGTGGTGGGGAAATAATTATGAAATATTGTGTGGGAATTCCATTTTGTATTATCAGGCAAAATAACAAAGCAGGAGTCGCAGCTTTACCATTAGCTCATTACAAAGTTTTTTTTTGTTGGGGTTTAACCATATAGAATAGTATTCTTTGGTCCGTGCCTAATGCTTTCCAGAGTTAGGATTCAGGGTGCATCCTTCCAGGAATAGAGAACATATTCTATTCCCAGGGAACGTTCCATGCATATGTGGAACTCTGTTCATTTGGATACTCGTAAGCATAGCGATGGGTTTCCACATGTCAGTTACTGAGCTGACAAAAACAATGTTTGGGTTAGCTCATCTCTCTTGGGCACTGCCATTGCATTGAACAAGATGGTGTCTATATATGAGGGAGAAGAAAAATTGGTTAGATTTTCCACTCTCGCCACTATTCGTTAGCCCCTTTGGTTGAGATGTTAAACTGAGATCCTGTCTGCCCGTTCGGATCAACATTAAAGATCCCATGGCACTGCACAGAAAGGGAGTTTCTCCCGGTGTTCTTTCTGCCCAACAATCCTCCAAATAAAAATGGTCATTCATTGCATGGCTGTTTGTGGTACATTGCTGTGAGCAATTCGCCTACAAATACAGTCACTTCACAGTAAAGCTCTTTGGGACATTCTCTCAAAGGTGCAAAAAATGCAAGGATTATTATTTATTATACATGTAGGAATGTACAGAGTGGAAATTATTATTACTGTCCTCTGGTGGAAGTAAAATTGTTTGAATGAATGTGAAGTGAGGACAGGATTGGATTTGGCTTTGATGCTCTGTGACAGGCACAGTTGAGCTACTGGAGGGTTGCCAGTACCTGGCTCTGGAGCCAGTTTGATGTACACCCATTAAGGGGAAGAGGAGAATCATGCAATATACAGCATTTTTAGTTGTTTCACTGATTTTCTTTCAGAATGATGTTTATTAATGTGTTTGAACCTTGCATAAATAAACTGAGTTACACGTTTGCCTTTAACCATGTGCAATCATTCATATTCCTATTGAATGCATTTAAAATGTGGATGTCACAGAAATGACAGAAAATCGATACTGGCAGAGTTTTATGGAAACTTGTGCAATCTTGCGCTCTAAACAGTATCCGTCAGAAATGCATACATTGCAGTATATCTCTCGCTGCAGCACTGTGGTGCAGCCTCCAAGAGTGCATATATTGCAGTACATATCTCACTGCAGCTTCTAACTACTGCACATCTTTACAAAGTCATCCCTGAACTAAGGTTTAAAATGTTCCAAAAAATGTGCTCTGGATATTCTGTAAATAGAATCTGCTGAAGGCTTTGTTCATTTGTGCCCGTGATGCTTGTGAGCATTAAGTACGACAGTATAAATGTAGCAGTAACCTTCCAGCTACAATATACTTCCCTTCTTCTGATTTGAGTATTTTGGGAGTTATGCAAGTTACGTTGCTTGTTTTGCTCCCAGTCTTGCATTCTTCTGGTAGTGAACATCGGACTGATTTGCCATACTACAGCATTAACCTTGTTATGTGTAACATGCCAATGATATTTGCAACGGTGCAAGATTGGTACAAGCAAGAGATGACTTGAAACTGTTTACTCTTTGAGCCAAGAGCTTTGTGACCAAGTTTGCACGATAGTAATCACTCAAAAGTGTTTTGAAAACTGCATGCATTGTGTGAATACTGATAATGTAACTACAGTATAAAGATGTATATCTAACCATAGGATAAAACCTGGATAAAATACATTTTGGATGTTCTAATTCTATTATGCAGTGTAGTTCAACCTTGACAATTTACTGCAGCATTTTTTTATTAGCTTGAAGGTTGAAGACAAATAATGGTATGAATTCCTATTATCTGGCTGTTTCATTGAAGTATTTTTGAAAGAATCTGTACAGCAACATCAACAACAACTTGCATTTATATAGCGCCCCTCACACAGGGTAGTGTCCCAGAGCAATCTTTGTTTTCCATATAGCGGGAGCCTTATTTTTCACTAAATGCTTTGACCAGAGACATTTTAGACCTTTGGCAATTAAGGACTAATTTAGCAGCACATCCAAGGATTGTGCTCTACCACTTAGTGGAAAGGTTTATTTCAATGGGAGATTTCCTTGCTTAGCTGTAACTTGTATAAATGTCTACTCTCTGTTGCTAGGCACTCTTCAGAAAGCTGTCCTTTTGCTCGTTCATTTGGTGACATGTTTAAAATAAATGTTAAACTGTCAGCAGCTAGAATCAATTGGGTTAAATTAAAACAGTTAGAATAGAGGCCAATTTTTTTTCGGTTGTGTTAAAAGGAATTTAAGAGAACTTTTATTTTAGACATCGAGAGAACAGTTGAGTTTTCGTCTCTTGTCCATTCAATACTAGACAGATTGATTTTTTTAGTGTTAACTTTTTTTTAAAAAACAAGTCTGATTATTTTTGGCACAAAATGACCTGATGAACCATTTTTCCCCTAACTAGTGTCTGTAGACCTTGAGGGGAAGGTAATTTCTTCTGGTTTAGCTGGCTCCAGGTGATGTGCTTGGCAATGGAACGTCAGAATCATATCAACCCTCTGTTGCAGGCTTGTTAATTCTTGAGCAAGGCCTGAACCATAATAATAATAATAATAATAATAATAATCCCCGCATTTGATATAGCGCCTTAGCACGTCGTTGAGACATCTCAAAGCGCTTCACAGAATGCACTCTAAAGCGAATTGACCATATATTTTGTGGGGCGAAATGCAGCAGCCATTTCCACACAGCAGTGTCTCACAAACATTTGTGAATTGAGTGGCCGAATTAT